CGCGTCCCTCGCCGGCGGGACCGGCCTTCCCGGACAGGGCCCTGCCGACAGGGACATCTCCACGGCAGTGGTCAGATGCCACCCGAGGATGCTGCACACGCGGTAGGGATGTGCCAGTACCAGGTCCTAACCGTCCCCCTGCCTGCCATCCCCCTGCAGTCACCCCGTGCGCATCCCAGACCTCCCCTCCGCGCTGAGCCCTGCAAAAGGGGCATCTCCGGACCTCGGGTGCCTGACATGGCAGCTTTCAACCTCCACCCCGGTGTCCCCAAGCCTGGGGACCTGATCGAGATCTTCCGGCCACATTACCAGCACTGGGCCCTCTACCTGGGGGACGGGTACGTCATCAGCGTGACGCCCGTAGGTAAGGCTGGTGACAGCCCGGCAGGGACTTTGGGGTGACCCAGGAGTCCCCTCTCCCTCCATGGGCCACTGGATCCTTTATGTTTAGATGACCTTTCCAGGAGCCAGCCAGAAGCACGTCTGAGGTCTTGGAGGGGTCAGGCAGGGCCTGCCTGGCTCATCCCATCCCTGCCTTCCCCAGATGAAGGCCCTGCAGACATGTTAAGCAGTGCAAGGTCAGTGTTCAACGGAAAGGCCTGGGTGAGGAAGCAGCTCCTGAAGGACCTGGTGGGAAATGACACCTACCGCGTCAACAACAAGTACGACAGCAAGTACCCTCCCCTCCCGGTGGGGGAGATTATCTGGCGCGCTAAGTGCTCCATCGACGAGGAGGTCGCCTATGACGTGCTCAGCAACAACTGCGAGCACTTCGTGACAAAGCTCCGCTACGGCAAGGCAGTCTCTGGCCAGGTAAGTAACATGGGGCAAGGCCCTGCCTGCCTCCCAGCTCACCTCCCCGCTGCTCTGCGTGAGCCCCTGGGCCAGGGCACAGCCTGCAAACTACCTGGGGACAGCACAGCCCTAAGCACGGCATCCAAACCGCCTCTGGCCTTACCTGGAGATCCTGACCTGGGAAGTTCACTGTGGCCTGTCTGCACCCTGGTAGTGCCTTCCTACTGAATGGCACAGCCAAGGCCAAAAGCCTGGGTGTTACTCTGCTGCTTTTGGGGCACATGTCTCTCATTTATTTAATTGCCATGATTATCTCTGCCGCCTCTTCATTAGGCTGCCTGGGGGTTAAAAAAAAGTTATTCAAGTTTCCAGCCTGCGTTTTACTTCCCCTTTGCAGGTCAACCAAGCCGTTGATGCTGTTGCCACTGTTGGTGCTGTGGCACTTGCTGCTGGTGCCATCTCCTTGCTGGCCTGGCTCGGGAGCAGATCCCGAGAGAGAGAGGACTGAGGCTGCTTGGGCAGGGTAGGGCAGGGAGCCCTCAGCCTGGAGGGACCCATGACAGTTTGTGGCCACAGCTGCCACCATGACTTGCTAATAACTCTGTCCCCTTTGCTGAGAGCAGCACTAGGATGTTTTATTTTATTTAATTGCCTGTGATGATTTATTGTATTAGTCTGGGAGTGCCTACAAGCAGAGTCTCAATCCTCACACCCCTGGTGCGCTGTTGCTGGCTGGCACAGGCTTTTGATACACATTTTGTTCTTACCAGCTATGTTCTGTGAGCTCTTTCTGTGAAGAACTTATTTTAACCTTAACATTTGTAATTTATTTTTTTCTTTTAACAAAAGTAATGTTAAAAGTAATGCTGAGGGCTTGTGCAAGTGGAAAGCCACAGGTTCCCAGGCCTGTGAAAGGACAGACAAGAAGGTATGGACTGTGGTGCCTAAACTGAGCTGCTTCTGCGAGGGCAGGAGGTAGGAAGGAAAGGCAGGTCTGACATGCTCTGTCTCTCAGTGTTTTAAATGAGTGCTCTGGTTTTAGCATGATGATGTTTTGCTCAGTTTTTTCCTGTCTGTAAAGGTGTCCCTTTCCCTATCTCTTCTGACTCCCTTTAGGAACAAGCAGGTACATGCCCGGTTTTTGTGTGTGTGTAGGGAGGGTGATCCTGACAAAAAAAACCAAACCCCCCCCCCCAAAAAAAAAATAAAAAACAGCTGGCTTTTTCAGTGGGACCTGTTTGTTCCAGGTTAGGACCACTGTGCCACTAAATTTTCCCTTTTCATCCTTGTAAGTGCAGTATTTTTTGGTATTGGACATGATCACACTTACCAGAGAATCTTTAAGATCCCTTCTGACCCAAACCATTCAGTGATTTTTACCCCTTGGTTTGCCAAAGCACTAAAGCACCATGGATTGTAAGAGCAGCCAGGAGCTTTTGCCCCCCACCTCCTCCCCGGCTGTGGTCATTGGCTCTTCAATGACCAGAAATTCAGTTTAAGCAGTTTGTAGCCCCAGCATCTATCTGTAGAATTTGATGTGTAGCTCCTGTGCCCTTCTCCAAGGCTAGAGAGACCCACTATTTCCTTGTCACAGAACTGATGTGTAGCTTGTCAAAGAAAGAAATAGTTTTATGGAAGAGTGGTTTATTACTCTTTACCAGGAGTATCTGTCTTGTGCGTCTGAAATCATGTTATAGAAACTAAATCCTGTGTTGCTCTCATGCCCCACAAGTGCCTGGACTGTAAGAAGAGCTGTCTGTAAGAGGCTTGCTATTTTTATCTGCTCTTAACATACACGTAATGGGGTCAGAAGCTTTTTCTAAACATCTGTTGTTCCAATGTTTGAAATAACAAAGCCAAGACTTCTGGTTGTATTTTGTAGTGTTTTCTCTTACTATATTTAAATAAAATTATTTTATAATATGGAAAATCATTCTAATAAAACTGAACCTGAAAGTCCTTTATTGCTTCCTGGAAATGTTCTTTCATGGCCAAGCTAATTATGTGATGAAACAATTTGAAAATGAAGCAGCAAGTAGGGAGAGGCTCAGCTTCTTGTACCTGTCCAGCAGCCATTGCAGCAGAGCACTTTAACCCCTGCTTCTTGACATGACCCAGTTAATGCAAGAATCCAAGGCTTAGCTCTGCTCTCTGCCACGTGACACCAAACCTGGGCCAGGACTTGGCAGTGGCAGAGGATGAACTGTGCAGGGGGTTGTGTGTGGCAGCTGGGCTGTCTTCTGCCTTTGCAAGCTTAGGTGAGGCATATCCTCACCAACACTCCCAGCCTGGTCTTACATCAGTCTCTGAGCTTTAAACTCTCCTGTGCTCAGAGCATTATGTCTGCAAGAATTGGCAAGGGAGAGCTGGAGGAGAGCAGCCTATGAACCCACTCATATCTGGAATTCATTCTGGGACACAAGGACTCTGGAATTGCTTCATCTGGGAAACTCTAGTTCTTGGAAGCTTCAGCATTTTGTTTAACTCAGGATTTTGCAATTGTACATGTGTTCCTCTGTGCAGCCAAGATTTGGTCACTTATTTTGGACTGCCTTTCCATTAAGCCCAGTGAGTCCAGTGGCAGAATTTGACAAAGAGTGGCTGAAGCATCAAGTCGAAGTGTGACATGAAGCAGCAGAAGCCATTGCTTTGCCATATTCAGTATTTTTGAGTCCTTGTAGGAGATGTTAGCAAGGCCAAGACCTGCTGTTGCCATGGAGTAGAGTCAAAGCTGTTATTTACCAGCAGAGAGAATAATCCTTGGCTGTGCTCCGGGGCACAGCCATCACAGGCCCAGCCTGTCCCTGAGTGGGTGGGTTTGTGCAGGGATTTCAAACATCTGATTCTGGTGCACACAGAAGGATGAAAACCTGGGCTATTCAGTGGACACCAGGGAAGCTGCCAGCAGGGTCTTGCCTAGTCCCTGTCACTGTGCTCATAGGTGGGGTTAATGTAAATCTCATCTGTGCTTTTAGTTGCAAAGTCCTTTGTGTTCACCGGAGGCCAGTCAGGGTCCCTCTGCACAATCCTCTGCCACTTGCGGTACTGGCTCTTTGACTGGTACCCAGACCAGGCTTTAATCAGCAGCCAGAAGCTCTTGTTCTGCAGAATGACATCCTGTGGAGTGACACAGTGCAGGATCAGTGCTGCTGCCTTCATGGGGAGCGGGGACCGCTCGGGGACAAGAGCCACCCTGTTCCGTATGTGCAACCTCCCCGAGCCCCACGGCTGCCTGTGCTCCCCCTTGGTAAGAGGGCTTCCACGTGCCACCTTCCTCATGCACCGGAAGGCTCTGCTCAGTCTTATCAGGGCAGTGTTGATCTCAGTTTAGCTGAAAAGGGTAATCAAGGGGCATGTTTTCCCTCCTGGAGCTGTTGGATGACTGAGCATGATATCTGCTGCTGGATGCTACCAGCCTTGACCCATAAAACGCTTTAGGGCTTAGTCATGACTGCAGTAATCAAGGCACAAGGCAGCACAGTCTCTGGCTTTGTCAATTGTAGGGCAAGAGGGAAATGGTTGTTTTAAAATCACTGCCAGGAGCCTGACCCTGGTGTGGTCTGCTCCCCTGTGAGCCCAGGTAGTTGCACTTCAGCTTGCTCCCTCTCTGAAGGCTTAAGAGATGTGGTCTACATCATCTCTGGGGCTGCAGAAACTGGATTTGGTCTTGTGCTTCTGCAGGAGGACAGTGTGGCTGCAAATGGGTTGGAAAGACCTGACCAGACAATGTTCCCATTCCCCTCAGGAAACAGGAGGTAAATAAATGCACTCACCTCTGTAAAAAAAGATATGCAAAATGTGACCAAGATCATCAGTAAGACATAAACTCTCCAGATCACAGGAGTGCAAAGAAACTGTTGGAAAAGACATGAACAGCAATTAGGTTTAAATGCCTTGCCAAGGTTTGCATCTGTTCCTAATGATTTGAGAGGCTGACTAACATTTTCCCAGTGGCAAACATGGAGGAGGCAGTAGGACTTGACAGTAGTTCCTTGTCACAGAGATCTTGGAAGGTTTGATGCCAGATTCCCCGCAGCACAGAGCTGCCTAACTCCTCTCAGCAACTTCTGCTATTGCTGAAACCCATGGATCAGGTGCCTGGGGCAGGATCTGGTGCTCAAATACTTCTGGGGAGCTGCAGCTGACACACAACATGCAAGATCTCTCCCTCTGCCCTAATGTCAAACCTCTCCCTGAATCCATCTTGTGCAGTGTGCCTGGGGAGCTGCAGGGCTCAGCCATTCCCAGTGTTGGGCAGCACAGCTGGAGGCAGCTGTCCGTGCTGTGCCCTGGCCAAGTGCCCAGGGGATGGCCAAGGCAGCCATGGCCCCACGTGAGCTTGTGGTGCTCGGGGGGGAGGGGGGCGGGCAGCAGCAATCTCTGCCCTCTCACTTCTCCAGCCAACAAGAAAAAACACAATCCACCCTATTGTGCTTCTCTGTCAGGAAGAAAAGCTCATCAAGCTATGAGCACTTTTTCTTCTCCCTGTTGCCACCCAGTCTTTAGAGAAGAACTACCTCATTAATCAAGTCCTTGTCTGAAGGATGTCAGAGAAGTTTGAAAGAGCTGCCCCATCAGCATCAGATCAGTGAATTTATTCCTCAGATGGCCATATCTGTAGCTTCTGCTGTGTACATTTAAGTAAAGGGCCAGCAAAACCTACGGCATGAAAAGGACATTCACACGCTGTGCTTACCTGCATGTCACTGTACACAGCATCAATGTCAGCCAAGAAGAGGAAGAGGCAGATTGCAAGCTGGAGGGCCAAGAGGACTGAAAATACATCTGGAGAAAGAAGAATATTTGTGACCTTGAGAGGGAGGGAGGTTGGTGACCAAGCTCTGTAAATACGGTGACAGGAGTTCCAAATGCTAATTCTATAAAACTGCCACCAGTTTTATATATATATACTTATATATATAAATGCCTGCCTTTTTTTTTTTGTCTTCCAAAAGAAGAGCTGTGGAATTGAAACTAGAGGAGCTATTCCCCAGCAGCTTGTTGCAAGGCTCACTACCTACACTGTTTTTTTCTTGCAGAAGTGATTTTTCAGATTCTGATACTTATACAACTACAGAAAACTGCCTCAAAAGAGCAGTGCTATGAGCCACACCCGCATCCTTTCCCCTGCACTTGTTCCTCCACGTACCCAGCCCTATGCCTGGGCTGCAGACAGCAGAGCAAGGGCCAGGTGCTGCTGATGCAAATGTGGGCTTTGGAGCACATCTTACTCCAGCTCTGTGGACAGGCTGGAGATTTTATGTTCCGGTACTTAAAGGTTGGCTACCAAGAAGATAATGACTCTGTATTTACAAGGAGTCACATGGAAAAGACAAGAGGTAATGGGCACAAGTTTATCCTGGAGAGATTCCAGTTGGACACAGGAGGTAAATTTTTCACCATGGGGACAGTCAAACATTGGAATAGTCTCCCTAGGGATGTGGTAGATTCTGCCACATTGGAAGTTTTAAGTCTCAGCTTGACAGGGTGCTGAGCCACCTCATATAAACTATAGTATTACCTACGAAGGTTGGACCAGATAATCCTTGAGGTCCCTTCCAATGTGGCATTCTATGATTCTACTTACAGTTGGTGTAGATGGGCTTCCGGAAGGGCTTTCCCTTGGAAAAGACAAAGGCCACAATGATGCAGTTGATAGAAGACAGCGGCCACAGGGTAGTGTCTTCATAGCTGAGGACAGTGCTCTGAGAACCACTGCTGGTACCGTTTCCAGGTGACACAGTCTGGTTCCCTGGAGAGCAATGTCTGTAAGGCAACACCAGCACTTTGTTCCTGATCTCTCCAGCAACAGTGAGCTGTAAACAGCAATTCCCTCCTCTTTCCAACCCAGCCTACTGAAATAACTAGGTATCACCCACAGGAACGAAAACCATACATTAAAAATAAAAACCAAAAAAAAAAACACCAAAGCAAAACAAACAAAAAAAACAGCTTAATTTTTTAGTCTGCATCGAAATCTCAACTCTCAGGTGTGCAAGGATAGGAGTGTGTGAGAGACTCAGCTGTGCAGCTGGGTGCCCCACTTGCTGCACACCACTCTGGCACGCTCGCTCCAGGATGCATCCATGCAGTGGCAGGTTGAGCCCTGGCACTCAGGAGGTTCCTACTGAAACCTTCTCTGGGCCTCCTGCCCTACCTCTTCATGATAAACTGGTTATTAATATATATTAAATGTATGTAATGCATAGTATAAATTTGCTCTGGAATATAGAGAGAGACTTTCTACATGTCACAAACATGGAAACGAGCCAGCTTCTGACCTCATGACCATTTGTTGGGCCAGGCTGGATTCCAGCAAAACCCAGCTCCAGGGCTATTTCTGGAGAAGCTGTGTGGCCAGACACCAGGATAGGACAGCAAAGGGGATGGAGAGAGGCTAGTGGTGCCCTGAGGCCTTGGGGATGGTCTCTCATCCACTGCAGCCTGGTGACATGGGCACCACCACCTCTCCTCACATTTCTAGACAGGCAGCAAGCTCCAGAAGAGCCATTTGAAAAGCACACACGTGTTAGTCCTCAGGCTGGCCCTTCATACTTCTGTCTGACATCTTCAGCCACTTAATTTTGTCTTGCCAACACTCTACTGAGTATACCCACAGCTGGGGCAGGGGGGTGGATTGTCCTGGTCAGGTCCTACATGTGCCTGGCTGCAGGCCACAGCAAGGCTGGAGTGTCCCTGCAGACAGCAGCACTGAGACCTGCAAACTGGGAATCAGAGACCAAAAGAGGGACTTACCTCTGGTTGGGCAGTGCTACATACCAGGGCTGCTGCTTCACCAGGAGGAAGCCACAGGTTTGCAAGATGATGGTAAAGCACACATTGAGGATGATGGAGAGCAGCAAGGGAGGAGAGATGAGTTGGCCAGGAGGGCGATAAGGTGCCAGCTTTGGATAAGCTTCAGTCAAGCTCACTGGAGAGAAACCAGAGGGATTTGCAGTCCACGGTAACCCAGCTCACCAGCATCCCTCTTAGTTTGCTGGACAAGCAGGGCCACATTCAGACCTCCCATCTGCCCATCAGAGGTGAATGCTGCAAAGCCTGGACATAGTAAGTAAGATATGGCTTTGATCTCCACTATTTTCCACCTGAACCTCTTCTGAATCCCCCTCTCAGGAGTACACAAAGAGAAGATGGGGAATATCATCCTCAGATACAGGTGGAGGCCTCTAGTAGAATCAGAGCCATACTGTTCTCATGCAGGTAGCACACAGGAGATCAGGAGTTGATGTTTGACTGTCTGAGCTCCAGTAACTGCTTCTCTTCCAGTTGATTCTCACATCCAAACCCTATCTGTTATGTACAGACTTCTGCAGCCATGTTTGCAAAGGACTATAGTCCCACACTCTGGGCATTGGGCATTGTTCTAGCATTAATGGATGTGATGATACTGACAGCAGAACTTGTCTTCTCATTGTAATTTTTACTAGGAAATTAAGTCAGTTCAGGCACTTGAACCAACACAGCTTCCCCAAGTTTCTTACTTGTCAGGCAAACCAGAAGGGTGATGATGACATCTTGTATCAAATACTGGTAATTCCCAAAGATTTGCAGTTGCTGGAATACAAAGACAGCACCAATGGAGAACCAATTACAACTTTTACAGCACCAACTGCAGCATCCAATGCTATTTCAGAGCTATGTCGTGCCAGCAACATCAGCCTCATGGCCATAATGCAACCCTGTGAGGACCAGCAAGCCAGGTTGACCAGCTATCAAATGGCTGTGGGTGTGGGTGACCCAACGTTTGAATATGGCGTTTGAATACTTTTCCACCCTTCTTCCAGCAGATATCAATGCCCTCTGGACTACACAGATCAGATCATGCACTCCCAGCCCACAGCAACAGCAACAGCAACGATTGCCTGAGTTTCACTTTCTTCTCTCAGTAGTGACGAAGTTGGTGCACCCACACTAGTAGCTGGGGAAGGCTTCCACTCCCCTAGCACTCCCTGTTTGCCATCAAGGCTGGGCCAGGCCTTGAAACCCCTCACCCACTGTGGGAACGAGCATAGAGATATGCATGAACTGAGGCAAGAGAGTTGGCCTTGAATAAATCCATACATTTATCTCCTTCCCTGTTTTGTTGTTGTCGGTTTTTTCCATAGATTAAAATTTTAGAGAATTCATCACACACTGGTGAAATGTAATGGTAATTCTTCTTGAACTACCCTCCTTCATCTGCCTGAGACACTTTTTCAAGCTTTATTTCCCAGCTGAGGGAGGCAACTGCTATCCCAAAAGCTGTATTATAGAGCAAGTTCTCCCACCCAGCAAGGCAGGACTCATCCCCCTCCAGATCCCTTTCTTTCTTTTGGAAAAGATGAAGTTTTAGCACTGGGCTTTTCCCTCAATTCTGGGGGTCCCTAAGACCAATCTACCCCCTGCTGGTAATTACCCAGCTTTTCACATTTTTGTTATTCTTTGAAGCCTTGTATGGCTTTTGTTCCCTGTAATACCTCTAAAAGTAAAAACCCAAGGTGAGCACAGTGTACTAATGAAAGACAGACATGAAACACTTACCCAAAACAGCAGAGCAGTACCAACAAACTGAATCAGGCCATAAAGGGCCAGATATTTAACCACAGCAAAGGAAGAAACCAAAGCAGCTCGACCTTCCCTACTCAAAACACAAAACAAAGTTAAAAAACCCACCACACTTACAGCTACAATACTGTGGGTTTAGTGCTACAGATGGTTCCTGCTTTTAGGATCTCTAAGAGGAATTAAAAACAGTTCAAATTCCATAGGCAAATATGTTTGGCCTTAAGATACTGCAGAGCCATTTAACCACCCTTCATCTGCAGTGTTTTGTTTCTCTGATTTTATTCTGCAGCTACACTTTTAATACCTGGATTAAGGTTCTGTTGCTTTTTCGTTACCAATTTCCTCAACAGTTCTGGGATTCAAATGCACTTCTACATAAAGCAGTAGTTGTCTTCACACACATTTAGCTAAACAGCAGTATTAGTGGCTGCTCCATGACCGTGTGCAGCATATGGACACATATTTTTTAAAGTAATGGCAAGCAAATTCTGTGGTCACTGTTACACTTGCCCTTTCACATGACTCTACTCTGTACCTGTTCTAAAAACATCAGCCATTATGGACAACACCCTCCTCAAAACCACAAAAATCCTCTCAGCACTGGAATATTAGTATCAAAACCAGTCCCAAAACCCTTCTACATTTTTTATAGTTGCTGAGGAATTGGGTTTGGTTTATTGGCATCTTTGAGAGCAGTGCACTCCCACTCACCGCCCGAGAGGCTGAGCTCAAAGCAGGCAGCAGCACCCCATGACTGCACCAGGGCAGCACCCAGCAAACTCACCTGATCAGCTCGGGCACACACTGGATGTCGGGGATCTGGGAGGTGAAAGGTGAGGCCACGGAGGCCTCCTGCTCTGACAGCGATATCCCCGCATGAGCCATTTTCAAAGCCTGAAATATGTGGGAGGCAGAGGATGGAGAAACATCCATCCAACCCTCCCACCTGCACAGAATGTTCACTGGTGCTTTACAGGTTTTGCTTCAAGTGTCTTTTGTAATTGATATTCCTCTATTCTGTCACCTAGATGATCTAATTTTCCAGATATCTTCCCTTCCCTGAAGCTTAAATATTTCTTTTGTTCATTTAATCCCATTATGCTTCTTTATAATCCCTTGAACTAGCCTGTATGCTGTTTCCCACACTGGAGTTTGTCCATACTTCTATTAAACAGACTTCTAAACTGTTTAAATTACCCGTTAATCCTCCTTCTATTATTTTCAATCTCCTGTTTGTATTTCTTTTATTGCTCTCTTATGAGATCCCTGGCCATGTAAACTCTGGTTTAGTGCTCAGGTGTAGGCCATGGACAACTTTTGCAAAGCAAGTTAATGCATTGTTATAAAATTATATTCTTATCATGTATTTATTATAATACTTTGGGTTTGCTTATCATTTACTAAATAGGTTATAATATACAATGTATTATAATACTATAATAGGTTATATAGTAATTACTCTTATGGTTGGGAGCCTCGTATTTACAATTGTGTAAGAAATGTGTGAGAAAAAGTCTTTTGTCCCTGTTTCTAGGGAGAAAAAAACAAAACAGTAATCCTCTGCTACTGTGTATGTTAATATAAAATAAACATGAGTAGGCAGTATTTTATAGTGACATGCTGACCAAGGGCACCCAGGGACTAATGTGGGAAATGCTGGTGACAAGTGTTGTTGGACAGCCTCTTGTCACAGCACCCCTTAGGCTGAAGGAGAGGAAATGTATCAAGAAGGGGAGGTGAGGTCCTACGTACCCCACAGTCGTTGGCACCATCACCACACATACCCACGTAGTAACTGGGGGAGGAAGAAGAAGAAAAACATCTCAGCTTTGCACATAGTTGAGCACATGGTAGAGAATCATTGGTTTAGCACTGCAGGTACATCAGAGCAAAGACTCTGGAGAAGGCAGTGGCCAAAGACATAGGAATTGCTGAAATCATGCAGCAGCTTCTAAACTCTACACCCAAGGTCCCTCTGAGAGGGCAGGGAACTTCATCCCCAGAGGAAGCACCTCATAACCAATAATTAGCTGTTCCTTTTTCAGAAAGGTATCACTTCTTGTTTATGCTTAGCAAGTAATATCCATAGTTAGTGTGAGTCCTGTTTGAGGAAGGAGACATTACTTGGGGGGACCTGAAGGAGGATATTTGGGGTCAAACTCCCCACTGCATCAGGTTGTTTTCAGCTTTGCTAAAGCTACAGCCAGGACAGCACCAGGAGCCACTCAGTTGCTGGGGACAGGGTGCTATTTATATACATGGGGTCTGCCCCTGTGTTTTTATTTCAGCCTCATTTAATTCTGCCTTCTGGGCTGCACCAGGAAGAAGCAGTGGCTGAATCTGAGTGAGGGGTGCAGGTACTCCTGGTGCAGAGAAGTCCTAAAAGGGGAACTGGGAGGAAGGTGGCCACAAAGGATGTGAACAAGGATCGCAGGTGAAGGAAGAGTCAAAAAGATGGGCCTGAAGCAGCCTTAGGTGAGACAATTACACTTCTAAGAAAATGTGTTGTTGGTTTTGTTCAAAAAGAAAATAAAAGAAAACCTTACTTGAGTTTCTGAAATTCCTCAACGAGGCTGGATTTCTGACCAGGAGACATCCTAGCAAAGACAGTCGCGTTCACTAGTATCTGGAAGAAAGAGCAATGGGCTGCCTCGGGCAGGCATTGGTTCCATTCCAAGGCAGGATCAGGCTTCCCTAATGGGGAGATCAGGCCTGATATTCATAAAACCCACTAATCCTGTCTCCCAACCCCTAACATGATTTTGCTACCCTTAGGGTTCAGGTTTCCTCTAACATCAGATTTATCCTGCTCTGGTTTCTGCCTCGCCTTCTTCGTAGGAGGTGCTGGAAGCTGCAATCCCCACATGCTCTGCAGCAGCCCGTAAAGCATCAAGACACTGAAAGTTTCTCAAGTGCAGAACAGATGGTTGATGACAGCAGCAATAACACTGCTCACCCTGAGGTTTCTCCTACCTGAAAATCTGGCCAGAGAGTATAAAATCTGAAAATCTACCACTGTCAGTTATTTTATGGACTTGGGGACGGGAGTTGAAGATTTCTGCTGCTAAATGCGAGTATTTCATGTTTCTGAGGCTTCTTCTGAGCAGAAGGCATCGCCAGCTATAGTAGTGGTACAAGGGATTAGAGATGATGTTTTTAATTAAACTGAAGTTGAGAAGGTGACTGAGGAGTAACTCCACTATGCAGCTGCTCACAGCACTACAGCCACCCCTGTCATTTGAAGTCTTAGAAGATGCTAAAAGCAAGCTGTTTAGGTTAAACCTGAGGCAGGGTTGGAGGGTGGCCAGAGTTATCAAAATTTCAAGTGACAATGCCACAGCTACCAACAGAGAATCACCTTTCCCCAGCCAGAACAACACTGCTACTTAATGAAGTAGGGAGAGCAAGTTGTTGGTTTGTTTCCTCTGAACTTACTTTTGGCAGCAAGTTGTAGAAGTGCTTTACAATAACCTGATAGGACTTCCCATTCATTGCAAAATGGTAGTTGCAGTTTTCTCCTTCCAAGGTGATCTTTTCCTCGATATTAGCACATACCTCCTAGGAACAAGACAGCATTTACTCTCAGCAGTCTGAGGTCATAACTTGCCACTTCACTTCCACCTCATCAGCCTCCTACCAGGCAACCAGGGACACAGCTTTCTGTAGCATCCTTTTCTAAAACTTCACACTTGGCTGTACTTGATTTTCTAGTTGTGTTTCCACACGTAACTAATCCTTGTTAGCTACAGGCTGACACCAAAGTTTGCCCCAGCAAATAGTCACACAGACAACTATATATAATTACATTAATTCTGCACACTTCAAGCATGATTGAAGTGGCCACTGCATCTGCAAAGCCTTGCCAGTTATTTGTGTAGTTATTTTGCATGTTTCCCTGAGCAAAGAGCCAGTGTATTAATTATTGCTCCCTAACAGGCACATGGTCCATACCACACTTCCAAGTGTCCCAGGATGGATACAAAACTAGCCCTCAGGTTTCTTCTGTTCCTCAGAACTATTTCAAAGTCCTTAGCAAGGAGTCCAGGCCTGAGAAGCTTGTGCATTAGACATTAATTAGCTGTTAAAAGCTTCCTTAATTCGCCCTGGCACCCAGAAGCAACCATCCCTGGCTGTGCTTACAGGGGCAGCAGCTGTGTTTGCTTTGCAGTCTTCTGCCAGTCGCCAGGCAATGGAAGCTGGGGCAGAGCCCTCCGGTTGGCTCGCTTCGATGAGGATGACTCTGCTGCCTGTGTGGATCATACCCGCGTTCCTGGCCACCGTGACAGCTGTCTGCAGGTTGTCCCCTGCAAGAACAGCGGAGAGGCAGGCTCCTCACATCTGCCATGGCACAGTGACAGCCCAGGCAGAGACCATGGACAAACAATGGAGGATGCTGGAGGAGCGACCCTCTCTCCTGTGCGCCCTGTGGAAGCCAGCACAGCCACAGGAGGAGCCGGGGGGGCTTTACCTGTGACCATGACACTCCTGATGTGGGCAGCAGCCAGCTCTTGCAGCACAGGCTTCGTCTCCTGCTTCAGGCGGTTCTCCATCACCAGGAGGCCCAGGAACACCAGCCCAGACTCTGCCTCCTCTCTTGGAGGAAGGACAGAAACACACACACTGTTTCCCAGGCATGGCACATGGAGCAAGACTCTCCCTGCAGTTCCTGTTCACCAGGAAAGCCCAGTGGGAAATATACTTGTTCCGCAGGGAAACACAGTTGCTGTGAGGTCAAGACAAGCAGCGCCCAACAAGCACCAACAAGCCAAAGTCCTGATGAGCTGCAGGACAGAGCATTGCAGCAGAGATGTGTGTGGAGAGGGACAGGGATTTGCTGGAACTGGCTGGCTGCAAGCCACAGATTATAGCATACAGAGCTTCTAGCGCAGTCCCAATCCATTGTCATATTAGAAGCAAAATAAACAGCTTTCATTGCCCTTTGATAACAGATTCTGAAATCCAGCTCAGTGAGCCTTGCAAGGGTGGTACTAAAGCAGGCAATTAACAGTAGTAATTAGCATTTGCTCAGAGGAAGGTGTTAGATGGTGCAGCTTTCCAACAGGCTTCCTCTGGCAGGAGAGGAGGGGAAGGTTTGGGGCAGGTTGTAACAAGCAGAGAGGAAAGCAGCGCCAGAGTGACTCCAGGGGCTCAGCAGCGCAGCTCACCTCTCTAGGTTGCTCATGTCTACATTCTTTCCAAGGTTTAAGACTTTATGGGCCAGTGCAATGACTCTGAAGCCTTGGCTTGTGTATGTCTTAAGCTCCTTTAAGAAATTCACTGGGACTGTTTACAGGAAAAAAAGGTTTCATAGTTAGAATATTCCCCCCCGCTGATTGTTTCTCTAGGGTGTATTGCTTGTCCGTTAAACTGCTTTATTATCTAATTACAGCACTGTGGCCTCTCATGTTTTATAGCAAGGCTGTGTAACTGACTGCTCACTCAAGTGATCCACATGTCTGTTTATACAAGTGCAGGTAGATAAGATTAATTACAAGGCAGAGAACTAATGTCTAATTTGATAATTCTCACTTAAACTTCACTGCATAAATGCTGAGTGCTTGAGGAAATAGTTTTTATGCTTATGTCTTAATGTGACAATTCTCCCAGGTCCTAAATTTTCAATTATCTGATCATTTTCATGACTCTAAAAGCAAAGAGTTCCTTTTAACTTTGTAGTGTTTTGTACTCACTATGTACTGCAAACACAGCTTTATGGTGTGGTTCCTAATTATTCATTAAGCTGTAATCAATACAGAAACAATCAAGACTGGTTAAGAGGAGCTATTTAGAAACTTGTGGAAGTGGAATATATTTTTACAGACATTTTTCCTGCTG